CATACAATCAAAATGTAATGCTAGGCTGTGTTTGGATAAACTTTTATAACATATTTTGGGAAATTGTCTAAAACCCACTATGAGTTTTCAACATTTCTCTTAAACTCACAACTTTTCAAAATGTCTAAAATTCACCATGTCAGTAATTTTTTTCCCAAAACTCACATTCCGTTAGTGCACCGTTAATGCTTCTTAACAGAGGTGTCCATATCAGCATAAATAACAATTTTCATGACCAAATTACCCTTGAATGGTGAGTTAGAGGAAAAATAGTCTTTTTCAGTTTTCAATTTTCTTGTTTTTTTTGCTTTTTTAGTGTTTTGTTATAATTTCCAATGTTTTTTATAATTTCTGTTTTATACATTTTTTTTACTTTCTATAATCTATAATTTTCCTGTATTTTTTGTTATTTATTTGCAATTTGTGTTTTTCTATATTTTTTGGTGTTTTTTCTACAATTTTTATTTTCTGATTTTGTTTTTCGTTTTCTATAGTTTCTATAATTTGAAAATAATTTTTTATTTTGTTTGCAATTTTTATAATTTTTTATATTTTTTGTAATTTCTATGTTTTTATGTATTTTATATTTAAAAATATTTTTTCAACTTTTTTCCTTTTTTCATGTCTAAATATTAAAATGCTAATATATTAACACCCATTAATTTATTTTGTATATATTTTATTTTTTCTATGAAGGTTAAAATGGTAATATATTAACACCCATTAGTCTGTTTAACGTCAAGTTGGTGATATGATGAGATTTAGACATTTTGAAAAGTTGTGGTGAGTTTAAGAGAAATGCTGAAAACTCATGGTGAATTTTAGACAATTTTCCAAATATTTTTGTATTGAAAGTACAAAAGTACGGAAAACGATATAGTGTTTGTTTTTGTGCCAATGTGACCACCCTTCAATAAAACTCTCAACCCTATTCACTTTTGCTAGAGTCGGACTGTCTGTCATCGGTCTCAAACCATGAAACCACCAGAAACAGTCACTAGAAGTAAAAAACGGGTACTTTTTCCAAACAAAAAATATATGGGAAATTGTCTAAAAATCACCATGAGTTTTCAGCATTTCTCTTAAACTCACCACAACTTTTCAAAATGTCTAAAACTCACCATGTCACTAACTTGACGTTAAATAGACTAGCGAGTGTTAATATATTACCATTTTAATATTTAGACATGAAAAAAGGAAAAAGGTTCAAAAAAATATTTTCAAATATAAAATACATAAAAACATAGAAATTACAAAAAATATAATAAATTATAAAAATTGCAAACAAAATAAAAAATATATTTTTAAATTATAGAAACTAGAGAAAATGAAAAAGCAAAATCAGAAAATAAAAATTGTAGAAAAAACACCAAAAATTATAGAAAAACACATAAATTGCAAATAAATAACAAAAAATACAGGAAAATTTATAGATTATAGAAAATAGAAAAATATAAAAAAAAAACAGAAATTATAAAAAAAGCATTGAAAATTATAACATAACACTAAAAAAGCAAAAAAAAAACAAGAAAATTGAAAACTGAAAAAGACTATTTTTCCTCTAATTCACCATTCAAGGGTAATTTAGTCATAAAAATTGTTATTTATGCTGACATGGACACCTCTGTTAATGGTGCACTAACGGAAGATGAGTTTTGGGAAAAAAAGAAACTTACTGACATGATGAATTTTAGACATTTTAAAAAGTTGTGAATTTAACAGAAACATTAAAAACTCATAGYAACTTTTAAACAATTTCCCAAAATATTATCAAACTGCCTAGCGTAAAAGTGGGATATTTGAAACTGACCCCATTGTTCAATGGGGTTGATGCATGTCAACCTAGCAACATTTACACAAGGATCAACTGAGAAATAATATCTAGTCTGCGGGCCAGAAGTTGATACAGGGAATGAGGGAAACCCATTAAATAAATTTCAAGATTGGATAGGTAGATTGTCCATAGCTGAACGGGCTTACTTGATCTAACCAAGAAATAATCAAAGAACCCATTTTATCACAATTCATAATGATCAGTTTGCTTCAGAGATCAGCTTCTTCTGATCCAAAACCCATATTAATTCACACAGGTTCACCCTTATCCGTAGTACGAGTACACTGTTTGGGTCTCTGTCTGACATCAAGCTAGGAAGCCCATCGAAGAAATTGGGTATCTAGTCTTCTTGATTCACTTTTGCATTATTGGGATTACATTTGTTGCTTACGTCAATTATTTGTAATTACTTCACACAACTCAAGAGCATATAGCGTCCACTTCACTCCATTTTTTTGTTGTTTGATCTTAGATTTCAATTTAGGGGCAGAGAGAGAGAGAGAAGACTAATTTCTTGTACTCATGTGGGATTTGCATGGCTTCAACTACTTGTGCACGTGGTGCAGGGGCTGAGTAAAAAGTGATTAAGTCAGAGCTATTTTGGATCATTTGTTCAAAGACAATTAAGCAGATTGTGGTATCAAGTGTCAATTATGTACCAAGCAGAACTTAAATATCTGTTCTTTTTCTTTTTCTTTTTTTTTTCTTAAATTCAAACTTACCAACTTTCTAAGTAGAAGAAATGTTGAATTAATTGTGCTGGTGCTCTGAATTCTCTTTGGACTTTGGACTGTAGTCTATAGACAAATTTAACATTGACTGATACTCAAACCTTTCTAACCAGTGATTTATTCATTCTCTGTACCATGGTTGGATTTAAGTATGTCTTGATTCTGGCAACATATGATGAAAAGTAGAGCTACTCCTGCAGTACTCCATATTTGCCCAACTGGAAACTGTTCTGAAGTCAAGTCTATTATGCTTTCATTCCAAATCTCTACTTTTATGGTGCATCTGTAATTGAATGTGATAGTAAGTATATCTTGATAAACATGAAAGTACATTTTATGAAACGAAACATAGACAAATATAGTTGCCCAATCACTGAAATATCTTATCCTCAATGATCAAGGACAAAGATTCCTCTCTATCTGGAGATTTGCACCTCAAGAGAGAGGAAACCATGGTGTCTTAAAGACTTCTTAGATTCAAACAAAACACAAAACCAAAATACGCATCCGGTAGGGGTGCAAATTTGGTAGCCTGATTTCAAGAATTTCAACTATAATATGCTCGGGTTCATTGAAACTAAACAAATTCCCAACCCAACTCGATCCAAATTGCATCTCTATCACCAGCCAGGTCACCAGTTCGGTAGTCCTGTTTGGTCAATTTGATAGAAGTGCTTAAAGTGGATGTCCATTGACGAGTAGCAAAACCTTTGTAGTGTTTTTTTTTTAGTGTTATGTGCCTTGAATTAATCTCAACTGAACAGACAGCAAGGTTCAAAGTATTGATACGTATCGGCCCGTATTGGCCGATATGTATTGTGCTGATGGTTTTTCAATACGTCCCTCCAGGGACTGTATCGGATCAGACACTGTTCAGAGGGTAATCGGACCTTAAACTGATCCCTCTAAACCGATTTCAAAAATAAATAAATAAAACCTAAAAAAAAGTACTGATACAAACGTATCAGCCTGTGTGGGATACTTTGAACCCTGACAGACAGAGAAAGTTGAATATTATGGAGGGGAGGAGGGAGGAGAACAAATACAAAGAACCAAATCGTGGATAAGATTTCAAAGGAAAACCCATAAAATTATTGAAGTGTTATCACTTATCACTTATTTGCCATAACCATAGACCATAGTGGTTGGATGCAGCTGATCCAGTAATAAAAGGACACATCCAAACCAAGTACAGTCAATTATTGGAATCTTATGGGATGTTAATATCTGCATTAAACCCAACCAATAATGTGGAGTTGGAATTTATGTGGGTCCATAATACACTTTCAATCAATATTTACTCATTCGTAGTCTAAGATGTCTGCATTCCAATGGCTATTAGGACATGGCATCCAAGGCTATCAACAACTTGACTCATGTCAGACCAAACCTAGGGCAGCCCTAATTTATATTATTTGTCACTTGGGCTTATGTTATCATATCATACTGGCCCAGCATACCTCTAAAGCTGACCCAACCCAAGTTGTCTACATATGGCCTGTAATGTTATTATTAATCACTTTGGCAAGCCTATTAGAAATCTTCTGCACTTTTGAAGTTCATTGTTTGGCCGAAGAGGTACCTCTGGTCCAGGATAAAAGTTTTATCATTCCAATTGGCTTGCAGGAGAATAAGCCCAGAAAATTGTGTCAACCCAAGCCCGAAGTGAAAGTGAAACATGTGATCATGTTGGGTTAGGGTTAGGGTCGGAGGGTTCAACAGCTCAGCCAGATTTGCACCCACCCCTTACTAGGCCCATGGGCATGCGTGGCTATCGTGATACTTAGTTTYTATGAAAAAACATCATTAGCCACGTTCAATTTGTAAACCAGATTCAACCCCCCTTTACGAGTGCTTATCTTTAATTTTAATTTTAGGCTAAGACCACACCAAAATAAGCACTTACATGTGTATAGGAAGGAAGCACGAATAAACACTTTTTCAGGAATTAAGGCCATTTTGAATAAGTTGAAAATTTTGGCGTTTTTTTTTTCTAGTGCTGTTTGGAAGGTCCAGAGCAAAGATATAGGAAAGGTCCCACGGGACCACAGGAGAACCTCTCCACTCTCCAGGAGAAAGTTGTCTAAAGGCCCGCCATGCCATGTAATTTTCAAAATACATAACTACCCTGTTTGGGCTTTTTCACCAAACACTTACAAGAGCTTATTAGGATAAGCACTTCCAGGCTCAGTGTCATACAACCATATCCAAATTACCATCGCCAACATACACCATGCAGTGACACTCTATGGAGTACCAGTATAACAATGCTACTCCATGTGGCTTTAGTCTTCACAGTTTTGGTTCCCTAATATTCCAAATATCAACTCAGAAAACTTCAGGAGTCACAGAAACTGCCTGCAATCCTTTTCTTTGTTTTCAAATAATCACTAGGATGAATTTTTTCTTTAAGTTTTGGTTTACAAACCAAGGAAGAAGATACCAAGGCCAGGCATAGAATTTCCGGGTTGTATTCGTTTACAATGTTTCCCAAGGGGAGTCCAAATCTTGCTGTTCACTAGCAAAAAGTGCATAGAACTATGCAACCATTACAACAATGATATTGATACTTACAAGGGACAAAGTTGATTGAGAAGAAAAAATATGTTAAACCCCAAATCAGGAACTCAACCCAACCAAAGGTTTTGCACCCTTTGAAGCTACCAACAAATTAAAACCACAAACCTGAAGGACCAACCAAACAAGCTTGCTCTGTTCCAGCAATCTGAGACTGTCAAATTCTTTTTTCCAACTGGTTCTTAACAAGGTTAATTGCAAAATGTTCTTAAGACTGTCGCTTCCAAAAGTAACTGGTTGCTTCCACTCATTGAGGAACTAATTGCTTTTTATGTTGCACAGGCCAGCTAGTGGGCTTCTCTATACCAGTATCCATTAAGACCACATGTGTAATAGAAATCAAGTTCAGTCCAACATGTGGATCCAATTACCATTGATGGTCTAGTGGCAGCCTGTAACTCTAAGCAACTGCATGGTGTTCTTGATGCTCAGGAAACCATTCAGCAGGCCACCATTCTGGTCTAATGGCTTCAACCTTCACATCATCCTGCCCCTTGATTCTCAAGGCACCTGAAACTTTAAAGGCTTCCTCCAGCCTCAACAGACCCATCCCACAACATCCAAGTGCTGTTGTCACTGCCCCAGCCTTCTTGTTGGATGCACTATCAATGACTTCCAACCCTGGAATGACCTTTTGCTCTACTTCTGAAAAACAAAATAAGGAAATGAAGTAGACCATAGTATTGTCAGATAATATTAGTATATTACAGAACATGTCAGATAAATTGAATTTTCCTAAAACTCAAAATACCTTTGCCACTCTCATAAGCAAATTTTAGAGGAACTAAACGCTTGCGAATGACGCCACAGTGATGTGTACGGGCAACAGACTCTTGGCCCACATAGCAACCCTTGTCAAAGCTGATTGCATTTAATCCAGCGAGATTGTATTCAAGTGGAATAGCATTGCCTGGAAAAAAAGCAATAGGAGCTTGAGAAGTGCTGATTTACAATAACTGACGTGAAAATAGCAACCATGGTCCAAACCCAGACAGTTACCACTTGCTAATAGGAGAAATTGCAATGTTAAGAGCAGATAAGTATAGCTTTTGAATGTTGTTGGAGATGGTACAGCAAAAAGGACAGAGAGGGTGGAAGATATTAATGAGGTAAAAAGAAATATTTTCATTACCATATTGATGAAAGTTAACAAACTTGTGATTCCTTTTCAATATGTTATCACTTTTTGTAGAATGCACATTTGAAGAGAAAATGCAATTTAGTGGTATATAAAACCAATGCACCTTTCGGAATCTCAGTTGAGCCCTCTGCAACCCCTTTTTCCACTCTCCATAAAAGGTACTGTTGTTCATCACATTCCTTATCAGACTCGATCAATGGTGCTGCAAAAAACAAAGTGAACCTATAAAGTCTACTCATTGGTTGTCATACATAAGAAATACAAGCACAAACAACATAGGAGCTTACGTATTGTATTTGATGGAAAGATCCCCCTAAAACCAAGACATTCCAATCTGGGATCCTTGAACCACTGCCACCCAAGATTGTCTCCCTTTGAAGCTGACACACCAGCATGATCAACATCACCACCCCAGCCAACACCTGCAGCATCTGGTTCTTCTGTAGATGAAGACCTATTGGAAATGTCTCCACCAAAACGCTGCCAACAAGAGAATTCTTTGGCCAGATTCTCAATCTCAACCTTAGATCTTAACCGGTATCTGTAGCATCAAAACACAGACAAGAAAAGTGCACAATTCTCAGTTGCAATGGCAACAATAGGTCTGATACAGGTATTTAAAGAAACAGCATGCAGATTTATTCTTATGTTAATAAAACAACCCTCTAGGCTACCCTGATCCTTTAGAAAAATGCAAAAACTTCCTGATGAGGGGTAATTTGGCCAACCAGTCACAGAGCGACATGTGGCACATCCAAACCGCCCAGAAGCATGTCAGCACCAAGTACCACATGTGTCCTGACCTGAGGAAACCGATGGGACAACAAGGTCGCACACGCTACCTCGGTAAAGAAGGCTGAAGGCCGACATGCACTTCATGTCCTCTGACCCGGGCAACCAAAGAGCCAAGCAGCCAGCCAACCTCCGGGGTGCCAACCTGCATGGTAGATTAACCTTATCCTGAATAACGCGCCTATCGGTTCAGAGTCGGGCGGTAGCACGATCCCCATCTGGCACGGATGACCCCGTCCTCCGTATAACTCGGGGAGATCAGTTGACGACTACTGCCAATGTGGAAGGAACATGCCCCAAAGATAATGGGCAGAAAAGGCCTGACGTCCCCAGATATCTCAGACGCGGAATTCGGACCCCAATGCCTATATAAAGGACTCAACTAGCTCACGTTCTCTTACTCTCTGCTCTCAACTAGCTCACGTTCTCTTACTCTCTGCTCTCAACTAGCTCAGCTGACTTAAGCATCAGAGTGCTCACCCCAGGTCTAAACCCCCAAGCACTCTAATCCTCTTCTACTTTTGCAGATCGGTACGCCAACCTCAGCATGCTTCGTCCGAGCTGTCCACCAGCAGGGAAGCAAGTGAATTTGCACATCATCACTTCCTATGATTGCAGTTGAGCATTACATACTGCTAGCTTTAACCGTGTTAGAGGGTTAAATTATTAGCTTATTAGTTGTCCAATGTTTGGACGAATTATTAAAAATATAATGTGTTGGAGCATATAATAATTTTCCAGCTCTAATGCCATAATTAACTCAGCTAAAACATAAAAGAAAAACCCTTGTCATCCACCTTGCAGACCAATTCAGAGATCAAGAAATGAGAGAACAAAGCCTAGAAAGATTTAGGTGTGCAATCATATTATTGGGAAGATGGCTTAACAATTGATCCTGATGAATCCTATAGGATGCCTGTATATATCTTCGCTTTGGAAAATACAGAATCGTATCTTCATTCTTCGTATTAGTGTTTATAACCCTTCCCTTTCTAGGGGCCTTATTTCCTCATGGCCCTGTAGCTATCACCTAAACTGATAGGAGGAAAAGACTCATATATTCTCAGTGACAAGGAAAGATAGTGACGATCAACTTAGTTGCACTTAGAGAGCTGAACGTCATTCCTTATGGGATTAAGGGTTGCTAAAGAGCACATTTTGCCCTTAAGAGATGTAGGTGAGGTAGGAATTACTTTTGGGTCCATGGAGATTAGTAAATTTATCATGGGAGATAAGATCTAGCATAAAAACGGCTTCAATCTCTTTCTTTCAGATTCTGAAGGTGTACATTTTTGTGGCCTACGGCTTGTCCATGGCCAGTATTCATAGAGAGGAATTATATGGTGGCTGTCTATACATTTAAAAATGATCCAGTGAGCTTTTTCATTCTGTTGAGCATCCATTTTGTACATCTTGCAGAATAGACAGATGCACCATTGCAACAATAAATTGTTCATCATCTAAGCTTTGTCCCAACTATAAGGGGTCGGCTAAACGAATCCTGTTTTGCCACTATGTTCTGTTAACTGCTATAGCCTTTTTCTATCAGTGTTAACTGCCATGGCCATTGTTAAATTCTGAGTTCTTAAATCATTTCTTACTAGTTCAACCAATGTCCTTTTTGGTCTACCCTTAGAAAGGAAAGGAAGGGGTATAAACACTAATATAGGTGTTGGAATTGTGTCTTATTTTACAACTGCTGGATTAATTTTAATCTAACAGTTGGTGTGGTCCCTCTTTAGGTTAAAGAGGTCATATAAAAGCTTTCTTTTGTATGTAGGGTTAAGGTTTTTGGGAGAAACAGTGTGAGAGAAAAATACAGAGTGCTCTTGGTGTGAAAGTGTTTTTTTCTCTTGTTTTGATCTTCGGGTTGAGAGAAAAAGGAGAATGGGTGTACAAGGGTTAAGGGTGGGTTTGGGCTGCAAGTCACAAGGTACTTGTATTGTTTCTCAGTTTTCTTTCATAGTGAAGAACAGATTTCGTCTCTCCCGTGGACGTAGGCAAAGGTCGAACCACGTAAATCTTTGTGTTCTTTGTGGCGCTTGTTTTATTTGTCTTTGTTGGGATTTCATCTTTTTGCTGCTATTAGATTTCTCATGGTTGTTATTTTAAATACCTTGTGATTTTATACTGTGGGTGGTTGTTGTGGGGCCCCAACAAATTGGTATCAGAGCTCCCAGGTTAGTGTTTACAAGGTGTTTGTAGAATTGCTTGAGAAATAATGGCAGCAAAAGGTACAGGTTCTCAGTTCCAGATTGAGAGGTTTAATGGAAAAGGCAGTTTTACCCTATGGCAAAGAAGGGTGAAGGACATCCTGGTTCAACAAGGCTTGGCTAAAGCGTTGAAGGGAAAGGATGGAAAGCTAGAAGACATGAAGGATGTTGATTTGGGATAAGGTGTGTTAGTACGATTTGATTGCTCCTGGATGATAACGTTATGTTTAACATTATGGAGGAAGATTCTGCACCGGAATTGTGGGATAAGCTAGAGAAGCTTTATTTGGGAAAAAGCTATATCTGAAGCAGCAATTGTACGGGCTGAAGATGGAAGAAGGTAGGAATCTCCTAGAACACCTAAATGTGCTCAACAGTATCTTGGATCAACTAAGGAAAGTTGATGTCAAGGTAGAGGAAGAAAAAAAGGCCCTCTTACTTCTTACCTCACTTCCTGATTCATATGAAAACTTAGTGATAACATTACTGTACGGGAAAGATACAGTAAAGATGGAAGAATGTACCACATCTCTTTCTATCAAATGAGGTTAGGAGGAAGCCCAAGTATGAGAGCGGGCAGGACTCTGCATTGGTTACGCTGGGAATAGATCGGAAAGGAAGATTGCTTGATAGGGGGTCTGAGAGCAATAGGTCTAGATCCAAGGCCAGGGAAAAGGGCAAGATACAGTGTTATAGATGCAAAGAATTTGGTCACATGAAGAGAGATTGTCCTACACGAAAAAGGAGTGGGGATGAATCTGAAAGCATGGCAATTGCATCTGATGATGATGGAGACGTTCTCACAGTCTCCGAGGTATGTGCAATTTTTTCTCCAAATGAGTGGATTTTAGATTCTGGATGTTCTATGCATATTTGCTCTAGGAAGGAATATTTTGACACATTCCAAGAGAGGAAGACAGGTGTTGTCTCCTTAGGTGATGGGTCTACGTGTGACATCACAAGTGTTGGGATAATAAAAATCAAAATGTTTGATGGAGTAGTTCGCAATTTGGGTGGTGTGGTGTATATCCCAAAAATGCGTAGGAATCTAATATCACTTAGCCGCTTGGACTCCAAGGATTGCAAGGTTTTTGCTGCAGGTGGAGTCATGAAAATCACACATGACGGTATGGTCCTAATGAAGGGAGAAAAATGCAAGGGTCTGTATCATCTGGTTGGGAGTATAGTGGCTTCCAAGACCTCGATGGGGTGTTGGAAACGGAATGCGCAAGGTAGTGTGTCTACACGGAGGGTCTCTTTTGTGGATAGAGTGGAAACAAATGCTGCAAGTTTCCAAGGTATAGATGATGGTGAGAGGAAGATTCCTGTTGGAAGAGAGGAAGGATCGAGGTCCCTCTCTGAAGTTAACTAGGATTGTTAGGTTGGGTACAGTTACACAGGTACATTGGCCATTTTGTTTGAATCAAGTGGAGTCAGGACCGAATGATTCAGGTTATGTGTAGCTGGTGGTGTTTACAAGATCAATGGAGGTTCGTGGTATTTGCAAATAGGTGGAGGCACAAATAGTATATCTCTAAGGTGGTTGAAAAATAAGCCAAGGTGGAGATTGTTGGGATTGTCTTATTTTACAACCGTTGGATTAATTTAATCTAACAGTTGATGTGGTCCTCCCTCTTTAGGTTAAAGAGGTTTTACATATAAAATCTTTCTTTTGTATGTAGGGTTAAAGTTTTTGGGAGAAAAGGTGTGAGAAAAATACAAAGTGCTCTTAGTGTGAGAGTGCTTTTTTTTCTCTTGTTTTGTTCTTCGGGTTGAGAGAAAAGGGAAAACAGGTGTACAAGGGTTAAAGGTTGATTTGGGCTGCAAGCCACAAGGTACTTGTATTATTTCTTAGTTTTCTTTCATAGTGAAGAACAGATTTTGTCTCTCCCGTGCATGTAGGCAGTAAGGCCAAACCACGTAAATCTTTGTGTTCTTTGTGGCACTTGTTTTATTTGTGTTTGCATAGATTTCATCTTTTTTGCTGCTATTAGATTTCTCGTGGTTGTTATTTAAATACCTTGTGATTTTATACTGTGGGTGGTTATTGTGAAGCCCCAACAACACAGAATGAAGATATGATTCCTTATTTCCCAAAGCTCAGCATATATACAGGCATCCATTCATCAAAAAAAAAAAAAAACATATATAAAGGCATCCTATAGGGTTCATCAGAAAAAATCGTTATTTCCAATTAATAAGAGCAAACTATATGTCCCAAAAAAGTGATTGCACAGCCAAACCTTTCTAGGCTTTGTTCTCTCACTTATTGATCTCTGAATTGGCCTGCAAGGTGGATAGCAAAGGGTTTTCTTTTATGGCCTTGTTAAGGTCTTGAACATCTTATCTGATCAGAAGAACAGTTTTTCCCCCTTCTTTTCTTTGGTTCCAATAAGAAATTAACAAATCTTAAACTATCAAACAAACACCTATTGTTTTAACACAGGCACTGCACAAATCGAAAAATACAAGATCAAATAAAGATCAGAACCCTTTGCAGACAAACTCATTTAAGCATAAAACCATAGAAATGTGGAAAAAATAAAACAGTATCATCAGAAGTAGTACTTACTTCTTGAAGCACTGCAGCAGCTCATCCAATACAGCAGCATCAACATCTGCGAACAGCTCGAATTCCTCATCAGAGTCTGAACCAGGAAGCGAGCCAGTTCTGTCGAGCTTATCACCGGACCGGGAGGGGCGATAAAGGAACAAGTCATAAAGGAATCTCCCCTGGGGAGTTAGCATTGCAGCATAGAGCCGGGAAGCAGACACAGTGGATAAATTGGGTGTAGTCAAAGCAGAAGTTTTCTCTCCCACCGGCTCAAGGAACCGCCGGACGTCGTTGGTCAAGAGGCCCTGCAGAAACTTAACAGTATCGGGGCCTCGAAATCTAATGACAGAGCGGCTCTTGAGAAGGGAAGCCATTGGACCGGCATCTTCAAGATGGGCTGCTCGATGATGAGAGAAAAGCTTCGAGGGGGAGGAATGAATGTTTCTGTAACCATTAATGGATCTGTAAATCTGTAGCGATGGCTTCAAACGATGCATTCTTCTTCGCTTCTGGTAAATTCGGTCGAACTTCGCGCCGTTCTTGCAAGATTCGCAGGTGTATTATGTTTTCGTAAGCTAAGCCTCATGGGTCGGGAGGACTGTAACGTGGGTCTTATGACGCGTGTATATTTGAGTGTTTCAGGATCAAACCACGTGGYTCCGGTGTTGCTTTTCCGTCTAAAACGAGAGAAATGACGAAGTTCCCAAAAAAAAAATCAAACTCTGCCAAGTGCTCGATGAAATGCCCAAACCAAAGGCTCAATTTGATAAGATCATAACTTCATAAGAGTACAAATACAAATGGTGGAAAACCTCGTATTTGCATTCTATATATTCGTATTTGCATTCTTCCCAATGAATATAAATACAAATATATAGAGTGCAAAACCTTCTATTTTATATATATTTATAATGTATATATTTGCATTTATAACTCTTTTCAGATTGAGCCTAGAGAGTCAAATAATCCTTAACGTATAATACATGACACACCCGGGGAAAAAACATAAGACTCCATTTGAGAAGAATGTAATATAAATATATAAAGTGCATTCCGGTTCATGCAAATATAAGGTTGGTTTAATTTTGATTAATAAATTTGCTTTCTTGTCAAATGATTTTTAAATGTAATAACTAAAAGGTACAAACATAAATCTCAACTTTAGAATATATCTCTTTAACATTGATTAATTTTGACGGCAAAAGTTTGCTTTCAATTTTTAATATAAACTTTGTTCTCATTTACTTTCAATCAAGGTTTAAAGTGTCGATACATATTGTGCCGATGGTTTTCCGATATGCCCCTTTAGGGATTGTATCAGGTCAGACACTGGTTCAGAGGATAATCGGGTCTTAAATCGACCCCTCTAAACCGATCTCGAAAAAATATATAAAACTTAAAAAAAATACCGATGCAGGCTAATATCAGTGTATTGACTTGTATTAATACTTTGAACCTTGCTTTCAATCATTGTCAAGACGCAAATACATTATTACCAAACACTAGCAAAACTGAACCAAAATACATATATGCACTGAACCCACATTTGCACTCTTCCCAATCAAAGCCTAAATAAATTGTGTAAAACAATTCTTTTGATAATAAAAAAACTACACAAAACCCTTAAAAATTGAATCGAGGAATATGAAATTCACTCTGTTCAATTCAATTAGGATTTTAGTTCAATCAAGTAGCTTATCAATTTTATACCCTTTCCTAACTTGGGCTCATGCAATTTTTTTTTGTATTATACATTATTTAATTTATTTTTTGAATAATTAAATTGTTATCATTAGATGTCATGGGGCCAAAGCTTGGCCCCAGCCCGGTCCATAATTCATTAAATCATCTTTCATTAAGCATGGAAAGCCTATAAGCCCAGCTGGAACCTGGGCTTATAATCAAGGTTCAGGCCTTGGCCTAGGTTGAAGGGAGCTCGCATTCTATGCACCCGCGAATGGCTGATTGATACGTCGACCAGGCCAATGTTAGTGCGCGCTTGAGCATTAACGTGGTCTGGTCCGGTTCATGTGGAAATGAACTGGTTCATGTGAACACGAACCGGTCGAGTACCCAATCAAAAAGCCCCTTTTTCTAGTTTCTTCGATTCTTCTTTCAGTTCTTTCTTTTATTTCTCTCCACTAAACCCTACCCATACAACAGAGTAACTCTTGTCCATCGGCGGCGGCAACGTATCCTTCTTCTCTTCTTCTTCGACTTCTCCGATGGTAGGTCCAGTCTGAAGGACGAACAGGTAGGACACGCCGACTGTAAACATCTCACATCCCACATCCCACCGTTGTTTCTCGGTTTTGAATGAAAAACAACAACTGATGAAACAGGGGTTAGGGTTTGGGGAGATTAACTTTGTTCTGACAACTGATGACTGCCAGTGCGAGGAGTAATGGTTCTCAGAAGAAGATGGGAAGAAGAAGAAATAAGAGTCGTTGGGAAATTGGAGAGAACTTTTTTATATTTACCGTTGAAATTCTTGCCACCGTTGGTGAACCATGTTTATGGACACCGGTGTATGTGAGTGGCTGATGGGATGATTTTCTGGGTTAGGACCGGGATTGGGAGAACCGGAGAAGTGGAGGAAATGGGAGGGACTGAGGGAATTCAAATGAAATCCTTTATGGGCGGTTCATTCGAAGGACAATCAATAATAGCCAGTTCAACCAGCCAAATTATTAATAACGGAGAAAACTTCCGTTAATTCATGATTAACACGTGTTCGCCTCTCATTCGTAGGTGTACTTGTCCAGTGCACCCACAGGTGCACAGAATGGGACCTCGATTGAAGGCTTTATCATGGTGCTAAACCCAGCCTGTCCCATGATCACCCTTATTGAGAGGACTCCTCCCCTGCCTTCTTTCCTCTTTCTATTATAGAAACAAAAGTATAGTTAGAAAATAGAAGCTTCAACCCAAGGTTTAAAACATCGATGCAGACGACATGCTAAGGAAAATGGGGCATATTGGTCTGTATTGATATGCACTTTATATTTTGTTTTTAGATTTTCTTTTCAAACTTGTTCAAGGGGTCAGTATAATGCATGTCTACCCCCTGAAATAGGTCAAACCCCATAACCATCCCTATAATAGTGCATCGGTGGGTCATTGATATGATATGTATCAGTTGATATATGATCCATGCTTCAATCTAATTAGAACGTGTGCAGAGGAGCTCTTGAAATAAAAGAAGTAATCTTATGATTTGGGGTGATCATTTTCAGCTTGACCCGACCCAACCTGGATATTTTGGATTGGGTCTAGGTCTTTTGTTCAAGCCTAGATGGGGCTTAGCCTATATATATATATAGCCCTCCCAAAACCCCACATTAGTAGAATCTCATGCATTGGGCTGCCTTTTTGCCTTGTGATGTAACAATTTATACATAAAATGCATACGTTGGAACCAAGCCTGGCCTAGACCCAAGTTATAGCCCTTATCATAAGTGCAAGACTCATGGTCACCTCTACTTATGATATTCCTAGGAGTGGCCATAATTCGAGTTTTTCACAAGTTATTCGATCTTGACTTGGTCTAAGCCGAACTCTGAGTCAAGCTCGAGTCCAATACATAGGCTTATTTGCCAATTGAACCGAACTCAAGCCCAGTAAAGCTTGGCTCATGAGGCTTGCGAATCTAATTGAGCTTATACATACATACATAAACAATAAAATATAAAAATAAAAATATTATATATATAATATTTTTTATTGTTTATATATATAATAATCACACTTTTTTATAATTCTTAATTTTTATATATCAAATAAAAATAAATTTTTATAGTTTTTTTTTTAATTTTTATAAAACGGCTCACAGTCAAGCTCAAGCTGAGCTGAACTTGGACTTACAAGCTTTTGACTTGAGCCAAATTAGAGCTCTAGCCTCATAGTTTATTAGCAACCCATGCTCAAATAGCCAAATATTTGGCTCAGCTCGAATCCACCCCTAGATGTTCCCAATTAAGCCATTATTATTTTTATCATATTAATTAATTATTATTATTATATAAAATAAAAATTGATTGGTTTTATTACTTTTATTAATTCATTTTAATTATATCTCAAATCAAACAAAAAACTGCACAAATGGGGAAAAATACAAGAGGTATAAGTTTTAACATTATAGCAACTTGAATTAAATAACACTTAATTAATAAATAATGTTTGGAATCCAAAAGTTTGGAAATCCTCATACATTGATTCAACAAAACTAAATACCAACATTATAGGCAATCCACGGAGGTTTGGGTTTAAACCTCTCTCTCTCTCTCTCTCACACACACACACACACATTGAGTATCTAGTCATAAAAATCTCTCTCCACTGGTCCTTTAAAAAATTATGTGGCTATATATATATATATATAACAATTTTACAGACATATACATGGTAAATTGGTAATACATAATTTATAATTACTAAACTCAGTATTGTGTAATTGTATAAATTTATTTATAGAGTTCAAAAGTGATTAGCATTTTTTCAGCCTTTTCTTTATTCCAAAGACAATGAAGTAGATTCAGATTAAATCTGAATGGTGAGCATATCTGCAATGAAGCCATGTATATCAGTCGAAGGTAATCTGTTGATTCGAGGCAGAGGAGTTTAATGAACGAAACTGGCTTCAGTTCTCACAAGACCATGTTCATACCATTTGCACAGTCCCTTGCAGTATACCTCTCCATGAAAAAAAACATATAAATGCAAAGATATTCTTAGTGCATGGCTGTAAAAGACTGTACAGACGATGTGAAGATAGTCTTGTGAACACTGAAGCTAATCTCTTAATGAAGGTATTTTTACGGCTACTAAAGCTGGGTTTGTAGCAATGTAAATGCAGGATTGGTGCTATACTGCACTTTGGTCCGATTTGGTGGGCGTTCCACTTTTCTTCCATCGAAGTAAACTTGCTCATATGTCAGTATGTCACATCCTTCTCTCATATTGCTCCATCAGAGAAGTGGCAACGGTCACTATGCATCTGCTGAACCTGTCGTTGGCGACCAGGGTAACATCAATATTCCAACGCAAAATCATTAAACATACAAGCTTCAATCTCAGATCTGAGCAAATGGTGTCCACCGATCTCAAATCTGATAAAAAACCTCTTCACTGATGCCATCTCAGATCTGGCAAGAAAAAGAGCTTTTGTTTTAATCGCATCTGGTATAAACACCTAAGAAATCATTCAAATCTTTTATACAAGATTTGAAATTTCAGGCCGTATCGGTCAATATATATCATATTGGAGGTTTCCCGATATACCCCTATAGGGGGTGTTTCGAGGTTTAATCCAGTTCAGGGAGTAGACAGGCCTTAAATCGACCCCTCTGAACCAGGTTTAAAAAAAAAACTTAAAAAAAATAGGAGAAATGAGCTTTGATACAGGCCGGTACGCCCCTACTAGCATATCATCCATACCAATATTTTGTGCCTTGCTTTTACATCTCTCTCTCTCTCTCTCTCTCTCTCTCTCTTCTATTCTTCTTCCCTCTCTTTTCCCCTTTCCTCTCTCCAAATGCCGGCAAAAGTGCATTGACAGTTTTAGGTAGTCAATGCCAAATGAGAAGAGATGAAATCAAACATACAAAAAACGAACCCATTTGCATTTTGAGAACTAGTAGAATGTGAATTTACAGTGTAAATTTGAGCTTAAGGACGTGTATCAATTCCATTTTGTTGTGCAATGGCTATGCTTTGGAATTTGGGTTCTGTTCATATTTTATATTGATATTTGGTGCCACTTAGGCACCATTTAATGCCACATAAGCAAAAAGGTGAAAATGTCTCCATTGCAAGAAACCTCAAAATAACATTTTCCCCAGAATGTGGCTCTTACAGAACCTGAGTGACCCAGTATTGCTTGAAACAGCTTGAAAACGTTCAACCAAACAAAGAAAAGGTGAGAGAAAACAAAACACTTATATGATGCTGACCTGATGGAAACACCTTGGAGAAACAACTCTGGTACCAAACACCTACTAAGTAGGGGAGTTACAATTCAGTGGTTGAAGGTGATGCAGCAAGCATAGTGAAAGCTTTGCAAGAGAATTTTGAAACTTCATGGAAGGTGCATTCTGTTATTGAAATTATAGATTTCTGCTCAGAATTCTTTTATTTTGGTAAATCATGCAACGAGGAATTGTTATAAAGTTGCTCGTGGTCTAGTCAAGACATGGTGCCTGCCTTCTAGTATCAGCGAAAGCTAGGAAACGAGTGCCCCAAACTGTATAGTTGATTTGTTAAATTCTAATTGTCAAAAAGATGCATGTAACTATGCAACCCTTACAACAATGGCATTGATACTTACAAAGACAAGGTTAGTTGAGAAAAAGAGAACCGCAAAGTCCCCATTCAGGAACTCAACCCAACTAAAATTTTTGTACCCTTTGAAGCTACCACCAGATTAAAACCACTAACCTGAAAGACCAATAAAAAAAGAGTAAGGAAGGTAAGTATACAGGTTTGCTCTGTTCCACCAACCCGAGGCCAGAAATTTTCTTTTTTCAGGTCACTTGTTCTTCTTAACTGCAAAATTTTCTTCAGATTGTCGCTCCCAAAAATAATTGGTTGCTTCTATCCATTGAGGATGAACTAAATGCTTCTTATGTTGCACAGCCCAGCGGGCTTTCTCTGTACCAGTGTCAGTTGAGACCACATGGGTAACAGATGAGTCAAGTTCAGTTGAACATGTGGCTCCTAACTGCTCTGCTATCTTCCAAAGCTGATGATTCTCTGCATGGAATTTGGTAGGAAATACACGGCTGAAGACTATTTTACACCCCTTCAGAACATCTTGCCTTATTGCTTTCATCACCTACAGACACCAGCAACAGGGAAAATTTCTGGTTTAGGATATAAAATCATATGCTATCATATCATACACCTGGAATACCGAGGACAATCACAATTCATGTTTGGTCAAAATTCAAATTGTTTATCTCTATATCTGTCCTTGTTTCAATGGTCAGATCCAATAAAATCTTGGAATAATTTTGAGCTCTTCATTGAGGAAATTTGGAAGCCATGTCGGTTGCAATAATCTCAGTTTAATTTTCATAGCATTGGGATGAACCATCTAACATTCTAAAATGAACTCATTTTTGCCAGATGTAGTTAGGTTAAAGCAAGTTAAAACCCAAGACCAGCTAGAAAACTTGACAAAATAATAAAGCACATTCAATTTGATTGGGGAGTTCAGAAAAAAAATAGTTGATTAGGTCATTGCAGGAAAACTTACTTGTCTCACATCCCTTGATTCAAGATCTGCACCAAACACCTGCCAGGCACAGCCCAATCAACAAATGAATATACATTAAACAAGCAAGTACATCAAATTGGACAAATAAATGGTCAGAGCAGAAAAGGCAAGAAAAGAAAAAGGAAAAAAGGTCCGACCAGAAACTAACCAACTCATTGAAGAACATCTCGTGGATGCGTTTCAGAACCTTAAGAACAGTTGCAAGTGCACCTTCAGATTCACATTCATCCCTCTTCAACTCAGAAAGGGATTTAGCACTGAAGCCAAACTGACGACAACTTGAAGAAAAGTAGTGGTATCTTTCCATCAGAATAAGGTTTTCTCTATGTTTCTGCCATACCTAAAATCATGAAGAACCATAATGAAATATTAGTGGAAGTATTCAATTTATTAACAAAAGGATGTTATTCAAGAGTGAAAGCTTTGAACCATTAAGAGTGTTAAAGCAGTTAAATTTGGCAATACATTTTTTTGGGTAAAAGAATTTTTCTTTTTTAATTTGGTAGAAGAGATTCTTTTACCCAAATTTTTTTGGGTAAAAGAAATTTGGCAATACAAAGGACATGTAAATATACTCTTTTTTTTTTCTGATCAATTAAAATATACTCTTCTTTCCCACATTACCTACTGCATTTTAGACAACCATCTGCAATATAATGAGAAACATTCCTCGTGTACTTTTGTCACATACAGTAGTCGAGGCAGCTCCAAATCTGCTACAAACAAGACATACATAACCAGCTACATAACCCAATCACAAGTAAACATGTCACTGGCTGGTATATCCGGTAGCTGTACAGAAAACTGATGTGTTTACTGATAATTGGTTGCATAGCCTGTTGAGAACGCTTTGTTTGTAGAAGAACTAGAGTTGGTCAAGGTGACAGGTAAATATGCTTAAAAAATAGATATACTTTAAGTTTTCTTAGCTCATTTACATAGCAGTCAAGGTGGCAAAGTAGGTTGGCACCTTGACTAGGTGAAGGCATAACCCAGGAAGCTGACTAGCACCAGTCTCAATGACTGTTTAAGATGGCATCAATATGTACATAGATATTTTGTGTTTCCAAAGAAAGTATATGCATGCAATGCATATGCTTGAGGAACTCTCTGATCCACTGGATAGGGAACCCTCTGGGTTGATCATCTGTTAATCTTCTGGTCCATATCACCTCTATACCGCTCCTTGTATTAGTTTTTTTTTTACCATGGTAATATTGACAATCAAAAGTACTTACAGAATACAAAGCTAATTAATTAGCAAACATGAAGAAAATTAATCACCAAAGCTATTTGACAGTAAAATAATCCTCAAATCTTAAGACCCTTAATCTCACCATGCATGTTTGTGAGAAACTACATAATATGCACACCTACAATACTTACATATAAAACAAAATATTCCATTAATAAATTATATAATAACATAAGGTATGGGCCAATTGGTTATGGTAATTCCTCACGGGTGGAAATGTTGGCCTTGAAGTTGATGGGGTTGCAGGGATTGAAAGATGTGGAGATGGAGGGAGATTGTCCAACAATTATATGCCGGACTTGGGAATTTAGAGCAGTGGTTACAGGCACACCAGATTGGCTCCACTTTGAACATCTCATTCAAGTAGGCTTCCAGAAGTGCTAATACACTGGCAGATTCTTTGGCAAGAGCAGGGGCAGGAGGGCATCCACTAATTGGCTTCACACAATTGACTTGTGAGTACTGCCTAGACAACACGGATCTGGAACTACCAAACAATCATCTTGACTACACATATTTTCTTTATAAAGAATAAATATAGAACAAAAAATAATATATGTGGAGAAAATGGTACTAGCCTCCATATTGGAGGGTTTTCTTAGCCATGACCATATCCAATCCCTTTTCATCAAGATCTCAAAGTTTTTAATGATTTAACTAGCCTCAAATCTTGAATTGGCATTAATTTCTTTTCCTTTCTTTTGAAAAAACAAAAAAAAAACAAAAAAGATGTAGTAATTTTTACCAATCCTATATATTTATAAAAGCACACCCCTAATTATAAGTAGTCAAAAAGCACTTGCTTTGGAAGACCAAGTATAAAAACCTGGTCCCGAGTCTTGACTCCCACCCCTTGGTCCCCTAATTGTAGGGTACAGTTGCATGTAAACCAGGGCAGACTGGTTGTTAAAATCGTATGATTTATGAAACGATTCACAATTTGAATAAATACCAAGGACTTTGATTTGAATCTTATGTATGAATCCTTTTCTGCAAAAATCTTATGATTTTTTATTTGAATCCGACAATTTGAATCCCACAATTTGATTCATAAATCTTATGATTCATGCATAGGATATGTAGGTTAAAGAGTCATTGTATGTGGATTTATTTGACTTTCAAGTCAAGCTTGATTAAAGCATCTTAGGCTTCTATTGTATAAGTCATAAATTCTATTGTTTTAGGTATATATATGATAGATATGGATTGAAAATAGTGTAAAATCACTGTCCAATATATATATATATATACCTATATTTAATTTTTTGACTAGTTTGTAAAAAACAGAAATAATCTTCCAATATACGATAAGATTCATGATTTGTTTGACTTAACTTTCTTTATGATCTATGATATGATTACAATTTTCAAAACATTGAGAAACCAAAGTCTTTGGCCCACTTCCAGCTACCAGCGTTGGATCAAGAAAGCCTTACTCAAAGACACAAGATTACATGACCAGTCACAGTGTAAAGGATGTTTCCTATAACTGGARTCAAGATTTAATTCCATAGCAGTAGATTGAACTCAATAGTATCACATCTGAAACACACTTTTTAAACTGATTTTACATCACTCATTAGACTCCACACTCTAATGACTTTGACCCAGAAAAATTCAAAATCAGCAAGGCTGAGCCAAGATTAAGGCCTAAGGGAAGACTATGGTCGACCAGATTTCAGCTGCCATTTTCAGCCTATAACCATAAGGACCTAACACCAAACAGGTTGAATCCACATAGCTTCCAAAATAATTTGGATCTAAGAAAAAGTAATTGCACCTACAGGTATCTGCATTTTGTTTTTCCTTTTTTAAGAAAGAGGTAAAGTATTGTATTAATCTTTACCATAAAGATCAGAATTACAAGTATAGCATGTACTCGTGTACAACCAGCAACTATACAGCACCACCAAAAAAAACAAGGCTCTCCAACTAAAAACAGCAAAGAATCCAAAATTATAACTATTTAAAAAGGATACTATGATAAAAAACTGATGATGCAGGATTTTGCAGGTTACTTGTTTGAATACAAACTTTCATGATTCGTCATAATGGTTTTCCTCTGTATAGGTTAAGCTTTCCCTTCAAACTATTTGCCATAACTTGGAATATATTTAAGCACAAACATAAACATAACATAAAAATAAAAAAGGCCATTACACAAAGTTGGCCCCAAATATCTAGGATCTTGGGAGGGCGGACTGGATATGGACCAAACATAGAATAGATCTAGAAGTTCAAAGAATAAAAAAATGCATTGATAGCAGAAGAGAAATGGAACCTATCCTAATTTATTGACAAAAACAGTTACACATTCTCTACTAATCTGGAAAAAAACCAATTTAAATTCACAATCCATCCAAATGTATATGTCAAACAGATTAATAACCAAAGTATAATGTCATCAGAATTCAAGCATGGGTTAGCTAGATTGCAACACTACTTACAATCTCCGTATCATCAAGGATCACAACAGCACTTTCTGCCCCCAACACCACATCAAGGCCCTTCTGGTGCCTTTGAGTGCAATTATCTTGTGATATCACCCTAGAACTAAAGTACACTCCTCCAGGATCCAAGAGTTTTGCTATTTCCAAAGCATAGGAACGTTCCGCCATAGTGTATACGTACATCTCAAACATGCTACTTGCTTCTTTCAGAAAAGTGTGTACAAAGGGCCTCAACTTTGTCAACATGGTCATAGAATCCAATCTGAAAAGGCTTCCGTTTAAAACATCTGAATATTTCAAAAGGAAACAAAATTAATCCCATAGGAAAACAAGTAGATAAAACTACATTGAAATAAAAGGATGAAGATGTAATTGAGATGAAGACCAAATTATTCTCCAAAAACACATCCTGTTTGGGATTTTATTTTGAATTTAGCCAACTTCCCCCTCCTTTATCTTGATTTGTTGTCTAACTTACTATTCTATTTCTAGAGATACTGGGCCAGATGGGCCATAGTTCTTTTCTTTTATTTACAGCACTGTTTATGACTTGTGTCTCCTTTAGTGGGCCTTAGTTATGGGTCTGTTTTACTTTTCTTATTATCTTTACTGAGCTAGCTGTCCTACTAGAGATATACTTGTAATTGTATTCAAACTAAGATCAGTTTCTAATAAAAGATGATTTGGGGGACTGGAGAGAGGTTCAATTGTCTCTCTTCTTTCTTCCCTTCCTTCCTTTTTCTTCTTCTCCTGAACTCTTTTTCTTCCATTTTCCTCTCCTTTTCTGTTTTATTTTCAGAATTTCTGCAGGTGTGATTTACAACTTGGTATCAGAGCAAGTTCCTACCTTCTTCATTCTTTCCTCTTAGGCCCATACACACTGTGTATGGAGAGTTGATTGGCTGATTGATCAACAGTTTATACAGCCCAGTTGGAGGATGTTTTTGGAGAAGATTACAGTATTTGTTTGAGGCCCATGACAGGTTCTTGGAGAGTTTCCCAAAACCCTAGATAATTGGAAAGTTTTTGAATTAAGGGGTACAAAGACAGTTTGGAGCTGGTGCTTGAGGCTAGAATAGAAGTTTTTTGACTAATATTGAGATCGATCTAGGTTGGAAAGGTTTCTGGAGCCTCAGGTAGGAGCAGCTAGACTTTCTCTGTCTCCCGAGTTGCTGATAGGGGTGCTCATGGTTCGGTTGGGTCTATTTTTGAAACCAAACCAGTATTACCAGTTTTTGGGAAACCAGTAACCAAAGCCGAACCAAGCCGATTGGTTAACCATCAGTTCAGTTCGTCGGTTTTTCAGTTTTTTTTATATTATAAAAAATATACAATTTATATTTAAAAAATATAAATATACAATTTATATTATAAAAATATAAATATACAATAAAAAACTAGAAATACACATAAAATATTATATTTTAAATAATAAATAATATATTATATATTATAAATATATATATATATATTTATATATAATGCATATTTATTAATTTATAATATATAGAAAATATAAAATATAAAAAATATATAGAAATATATGTATACCAGTCGGTTCCGTTAACCGCTAGTTTTCTATATTGGTTAACCAAAACCAAACCAACCAAATCAGTTAACTGGATTTTCGGCTCGGTTTCGGTTGGTTTTTGGTTCGGTTGGGTTTTTTCGGTTTTTCTTGCTCACCCCTAGTTGTCGTGTAGCAAAATCCTAGTTTTGGTTGATTGAAGAGCAGTGTTGGCCTTAGGGAAATGACTCTTGATTAGTAGAACCCTAATTTTATTTCTATTTGTTATATTGTCAAACATAACATTCTAGCAAAGGATGAAGTGACCTTATCTCAAGCTTATGCCATGATTAGTAGTGAGGACAATAGAAGACAGGTACAGGTTGGAGAAGTCCCAACTGATCACTTTGCCAATGTTGGAATGAAACCAAGGGTTACCATTGGGGACAAAGATGTAGTGTATGATTATTGCAAGAAGCCTAAGCACACGAAAGACACCTATTGGGAGCTACATCCAAAGTTGTTTACCTCCTAGATTCAAGAACAATAATAAAGGTAAGAAGAAGGGGAGTGGGAATGGTGACAATGCTAATACAACCACCTCTTCTAAGGCTAAGAAAGGGTCCAATGATGAAAAATCAATGGAGGAATATATTGCAATCGCTAGAGTAGAAGAGTATGAGAAGTATGGTCGGATCATTAGTCACTTAGAATATGCTACTACAGCTACTACTTAGGAAATTACTTGTACTAAAAAAACTTACCTCAAAAAATGGTAAACACTAACTAGCTCCTATCTGGCCAAACCAAGATTTCTCATACTGATGGCTCTCTTGCTCCCATCTCAAGCAAGGGAGACATCAAAGCTTCAAATACCCTCATCTTTAGTCCTTCATGTTCATAAGCTTAACACTAACTTGCTTTCAATTAGTAATTTGACAAAATCTTTGAATTGCAGTGCAACTTTCTTTCCTTCTTATTGTGTTTTTCACGACATGAAATCTCAGAAGGTGATTGGGAGTGGCCATGAGGTGAATGGCATATACTTGTTGGATATGTCTAAGAAAAGTCAAATATCACCTCAAAGAGAAAATTTTGGTTCAAATGTGTCTGAGTTAATTAACTGTGTTATGTTATGTCACTAGCATCTAGGTCATATTTCCTTTTCTTCATTGAGACTTTTTGTTTCCAACCTTATTTAAGGAAACCGAGTTGTCAAGTCTACATTGTGAGTCATGTGAGTTGTCAAAGCATTGTAGAAATTCTTATCCGACAAGTAATAAAAGACCTACTATTCCTTTTCATATTGTTCACTCTGATGTGTATGGGCCATAGCATTTACCTTGCATGGGTAGTTACAAATACTTTATTCTGTTTATTGATGACTTTTCTCGCTATACCTAGCTTTATCTTGTGTCTCGTGCTGAAGTGCCAAGACTTGTGAAACAATTTCATGAAATTATACTTTCCCATTTTGATACACGTATCAAAATATTCCAATTTGAAAATGCTAAGGAATATTTTAAGAAAGAACTTACCTCATACTTAAGATTTGGGGTTGTGCATCAAAATTCTTGTGCCCATAATCCACAACAAAGAGGAAAAATCAACATGTTGTTGAAGTAGCTAGGAGTATTCTTTTTTGCCTCCCATGTTCCAATGGGGTGATGTCGTCATGACAACTACCTATCTTATTAATAGCATGCCTTCTCGAATCTTGAGGTTCAAGTCCCCTTTTGCTTTTTGTTTCTTAATGGTGATATTTTTCCTATTCTTTTGTGTGTCTTTGGTTGCACATGTTATGTCCATATTCCCAACTCTTAGAGACATGAATTTGAAACCAAGACTCAAAAGTGTATTTTCTTAGGGTATGCCTCCACATAGAAGGGTTATTGTTGTTTTAATCCTACTACTGACACTCGTTTTCTTCCCATGAATGTCACCTTTGTTAAGTCACTTCCCTTTTATGGTCATTCTCCTAAGGGGGATCATTCTATTAAGTTGTTTGCTTCATCACTTCCTCCACCATCTCCTATTGGCTCTAGTGTTAAATCCTCTACAGATCCTATTCCTTTGGCAGAGTCTTCCTTGTCTCCTAGTTCTCCCATTCCTATTCCTCCTGCACCACCTGCTAGCATGGTTTAAAATGTCCCTAATTTCCCTAATATTTCCACAACATATTTCCATTTCCATGGGTAGTGACACGAAATTTTACTAGAATCAACATTTCCCCAATGAACACTATCGGAACTATGTGGATTACAAGAGGTAGTTTCCACAACATATTTCCATTTCCACTTTCATGGGTAGCGACATGAAATTTTACTAGAATCGACACATTCCCTAGTGAATACTATCAGTAGTATGTGGAGTACAAGAGATAGTATTATAACATAAGTTGGTGACAATATTGTAGACATGTGAAGTAACAAGTTATTGTCCACCTAACTTACCTGATGACAACTTCAAGCTAGCTCAATACTCATTTCAAACATGTAGTTAAATATTAGTTCTTGTTTGTGTAGTAGATTATTTGGTTGATCTATTACAACCATGTACATTTTCTATGAGTTCAAATTTTGCTTTAACTCATTCTATCATRAAGCTCTGAMTGGTTTACAGGGCAACTTCAGAACATATTCTTTTGTCTATAACCTTAGTTTCTTAGCTTTGTTTAGTGATTTGAAACAAGATAATAATTTAAAAAGGTGTGCCTATGCTTCTTTTATCATTTCATAAAATATCCTTCTATATTTTGCATATTTTACAATGTTTCCACCATGTATATAATTTTTACAATATTTCCATACGATTTTTCTGACATTTCCAACATGTTTCTTATACTTGGATGACCGAGATCGACATTTTAAACCTTGCCTACTAGTCCTCCATTTTTCACTACTCATCCTATTGTTCAAAGGCAGTACCAAAGACAAAGGCTACGGCATTTAACAAGTAGTTCGCCCATTTAAAGTTGAGCCTTAGGCACTCCCAATTCCTAAATAGAGGACATGTTCTTTACCACCTGCTCCAATACCTTCCTTCCTAGACCTTGACCTACCTATTGCTGTGAGAAAAGGCAAGAGAATATGTACAACTCATTATATCCCAAAACACCTACTCTTTCTTACAGTTTGATGTCACATTCATACTATTCTTTCCTAGCCTCTATTTCCTCTCAACCTATACCCAATTTAGTTATAGAAGCCTTGTCCAAGACAGAATGGAGGGAGGCTATTAGAATTGAAATAGAAGCAATTTGCAAAAATAATACTTGGGATATTGTAAACTTGCTTATCAGGAAGAAACTAGTGGGATGTAAGTGGGTGTTCACCATCAAGTATCATGTTGATGGAATAATTGAGAGGTATAAGGCCTGATTGGTTGCCAAGGGTTATACACAAGTATATGGAGTTGATTATATGGAGACCTTCTCAATGTAACCTTAGTGAGAGTTTTGTTATATCCTTGACAGTGAGTTATGACTAGCCTTTATATCAATTTGGTGTTAAAAATGACTTCTTATATAGGGACTTAACTAAAGAGGTTTATTTGTTACTTCCTTCGGGAATATATAGTAAGGAAATGCAGGGTAAGGCGTGTAAGTTGAAGAAATCCCTATATGGCTTCAAGCAATCCCCTCGAGCATGGCTTGACAAATTCCAAGTTGCACTTATTGAGTTTGGCTACACTTAGACACAATCTGACCATACCCTATTCAGTGGGTGGGGAGATCAGCAAATGCTTTGGCTAATGTGTTAGCCAAGCAAGGGGCAAATA